AGCATCAGGTAGGCATACTCGCGGGTCGCTTGTAGAATCTCCCGTTCTCAATTCTGCGCGGAAATGTTAACGTGCGATCGATGTTCAGAATGCGTCTTCGTACCTGCACCGACCCAGGTATGAATCGATCCGTCATGCGTCTGAGTATGAGATACAGGTCGTGGACGCTACTTTGCGCTTGTAGCAGATGGGCTTCGAAGACCTCCATCACCGTCAGCGTGAACGCGGTTCGGGGCCAATCGCCCCAGGTGCCAGGGTATAACCCATGGCGCAGCAGCTGCATGGAGTGGGGCTCGGCGGAACACAGACAAAACCGCACCATCGCGTTGAGGATGATACCGTGCTCGTGGACTAGCGTCATCCGAGTGTTGTGAGCTTCAGGGTCGCGGCATACTTCTCCTGAGGGATGTTGAAGATGAAGGACGTGGCCGAGTGTGAAAACGTTCGTGCTTATCCACGTTTTCTCTTGCTTGTCCCAGGCGAGTAGTCGATGGTCGAATTTGAGACGGTGGGTGGCAACAACGCACTCGGCGCATAGGTTGGGTTCAGGGGTACAATCTTGACAGCGGTATCGAGCGTCGAAATCGTCGAGGATGGTCTCTTCGTCACGATTCAGGAGGCAGTTCACGCACTTATCCGTCGGCTTGGGCCCCGGTCGTTTGTCGAGCAGTGTGTCATACACCAGGGGTGCCACGCCTAGGAACTGCGCCCTGCGTTTGTGGGGTGGCTTGTCACGCGTTGGTGAGTGGTGTCCACGGTTGGGCGATGGTGTACTCACTATGGTGTTGTTGGCTTTGGGTCGACGCCTTCGACCTTCCTCATCGCTCGAGCATCCTTCGTCCTCGCTCTCTGTATCTTCGTTATCGGAGGGGACGTCGGGTGTGAGACCCAGCTGCTCAAAGGTCTCTGTGATGCGCTGCAGCCCAGACGGTAGGATATCCGCGCCAGGCATTCCTTGGTCGAGCTCAAGATGTCTGACCTTCCGGTACGTATGCGCCCGCGCGGAACCCAAAACTGGGCGAGAAGGAGTGTCCATGGGTCGGGCATCGCGCTTAGCATGGGCGGGAGTGACGCTTGCATGGGCAGCACCGTAGGTCCTCGACCTGGTCTTCCTAGGCGTTTGCGGCCCTCGGTTGGGTTGGCGAGCCATGGATATCACCCAGAAGACAGGACCATGGAGCAAAAGCCAGCTCGCACGGAAAAGAGGACGGCGCGTTCGGCAAGGCACTCGGCGCCCGGGCCGCTCAGTGGGGGCGGGGACTCTCTTCCTTCAAGCAAGGGGTCACAGTGCCCCCCTGCCGTCGGCTGCCCGAGTCGAGGGGTTGGCCGGGCTTAGTCACGCGTAGCTAGTCGTGTCAGTGATTGATTGGGCATGGTCACGTATTGATGGAAAGACGACCATGTATGCTGGGGCGGCGCACTATGAGGCCGCCAGATCGGAACATTCTGCCATTGACCCAGAGCGCGCGCGTACGTCGGCAGGGCATAAGGCCCGTGTCGAGGCCCGGGCACTGCACTGATTATACAGCGAGGCCGCCGGGTCGGAATGTTCACCCTTTGATCCAGAGCGCGGATTGTGCATCCAGCTCTCGATCGTCTGCCGTGGTGGCGGGCGTAGACATGAGTAAGTACGACGCGTCCGATGCCACCGAGGCCCCGCGCCTAATGTGGGAACGTGCGCCAATAGCGGCCCGGCTCAACTTCAACGGTGGGAAGACGCCCACGTGACTTGTGTCACTGTCGACCGAACAATTGCGACTCGCGAGCCACCGATATCTCTTACATCCTCCTGTAAGTACCTATTGTATTTTGCGGTCTTCATGGAGGGGTCCCCGGAGCCACCAGGCTGCTGCGCGAGTGCAACACTCGCGTGCGCCGGCGGTCGCAGCGTACTCAACTACATGTTGTCGAGCTGAACCGGGGGGCGATCGGGAAGTGTGGCGTGTTCAGAACTCTGCCCCTTCCCTTTCGTCGAATCTTGGCCTACGCTGTGATTCCCCTCCATCAGATCATCGGCTTCATGCTACGCCCGATGGTTGAATTGTTTCTGAAGACTGCTGTGTTAGGAAATACATTCTCCCCCGGCGGCATCTGTTCATCCATGCCACCGTCTGCGCGCAACATCGTGACTGCCTCAGCCTCATACCCAAGGGAGCCGAAAACTCGGCCTCCCCCTCTCCCGTCTGGGCAGAATCCGGGCTCAGAACCCCGTCAAGTGCTGCAACCCAATCAGCACAGAGATGGTGAGGGCTAGGCCATCACCGACATGTCACACCGCTGACGCTCCTGCAATGCAGCACCATCCGTGGTCTCACCATTCGACGGTCGTGTCGCTTCACAAGATGGACTGAACGTGGCTGTGATCACCTCACCCAATCAAGACTGGGTTCCCGCACACCCTGTGGAACGACGGGTCGTCCGCACGTTCTCGGACGGCTTGTGGGGCGAGCACGAATATTCGAGATGGCCTCAGCCCATGATACGCAACATGTGGCATCTAGGGTGTATACCCTCTCTCCGCCATCCGCAGGCCGACATTCCACCCGCAGTCTGGACATTGCTCTCGTCCTCGCGCGATTGGGCGGAGGATGTTAACATCGGCGTCCCTGGACTAGGGTTTTTGCTTCCCGACATCCGGTCTCACCTCTGCCACGCTGCCGAACGTGCGACATCCAAGTTCATGTCCATCGCCGGTGTGCCACCACACCGAATGTCATATGGCGAACAGCTCTGTCTGGTTCTGCGACAGTGCCTTGAACGCATGATGCGACTGCCCTCAGACGCCGTCGTCTCAATCGCGGTCGGCGCACACATCCAGCGCGTCACGTTGGAGCTCTTGGGACTTCACACCTACCTCACCGTCGTCTTGCCACGAATGGACTCTACCACCGACTTTAGCCTCGATGTCCTTCCCGTTCTGGGTCTCTTCGCGAGCGACGCCGCCACGGTTCAATTGGCCACTCGGGTCGGTCTCCCAATCTGGTTCATCCAACCGCTCACGCGGTACATCAAGATCTGGAAGGTAGTAACGTCCACTGCACCCTACCACCTCTCCCAGAAGGAGTCGTCTCCTCCCATGCGGCATCATCCCGATGAGCTCGGCGCGATAGCGAACCTCACCAGCAGCTGGGTGTCAAACATGGTGTTCGCCATCACGGGTCAACTCTGCTCCGGCACTCTGGCGGGCTTAGACCAGGGACAGTCGTGCGGCGAAGACGGGCCGATGAAGACCAGGAGGGTGGAACTGATGCCGGTCGAGGTTCAGAAGAGCAAGACGGGCACGGGCCAAGGCAAGACGAAGAAGACCAGGCGCAGTGGCCGTCGGCACAAGTCCGGTAACACCGATACCGTTCCTTCCAAGTCTCCATCCCACACGCCGGGCCCGTCGAACGCCCCAGCCCCGTCAGACGTTGGCCATCCGTCACGGCAGTTCAATAAGCCACTTTTCCTTGATGTTCCGCACGTCTGGGCCGTCCCCCAGCGCGATCTCAAGTGCCTCCCGCAGCCACGCACTTCCGTACACTATTTCTATCCGCCCCCCTTCCTTCTTGACACGATCTCCTCGGCGACGCCGGTGCCCGATGATGTACAGCTGCGGGGGCAAATACGGCGGGATGAGAAGGTCCACCGATACCTCCACAACGCGATTCGCATCAGGGCCTTTTGCCGCCTCCGTCTCCTCGACATCACCGTATCAGGAGACCCGCTTACCATCTCCGAGTGGCGTGCTGCGCTATGGGGAGATTACCAGATCCAGGACGCCCCTGATTCAACGGCGCACGACAATCGCCTGAAGCGCAAAATCGAAGGTCAGAACGACGTCGCACGGCTGTTCGGGTCGCGAGCTGCGCTCCCTTCTTACTCAGAGGCCCAGACGCCCGACTTTGACGGGATGGAGGTTTCTCAAGAGATGGCGGCCACCGATCTGCGTGTTCGTCAGATGCTTCTATGGGAGTGTCACGAGATCAACTTCCGTTGCGAAGTCATGGCCCTCGACGCCGCTGTCGTCCCTCGGAGTGGATGGAACGTCATGCAGCGATGGGGCCGGGAGACGTTTGTCGCCGGGATATGGAGCGAGGGAGGATCGATTGCAAGCATCATCCCTCTCAAGGTTGATGAAGATTTCCATTGGAGGTCGCCTCCTGACGAGCGCTGGCAAGAATGCACCCGCCCTTTGCGCCGTTTTCTAGCGGTGATGGCGACTTGGCCTGGGTGCCCCGACGACATCAAGACCGGTCACAAAGGCCGTGACTGGACTTCTGATGAATACGAGGTCCTACAGCTTACTGGAACGCGATTCTACACGGCCCAGTTCACCACGAGGTTTGGACGTCTCCCCATCCCACCTGTAGCTCTGCCGTCTATGTAGTCTAAATGGACTCTAGTAACATATACACGATGCGATAATTTGCTTCTCAGTAGCATGTACTATGTTTGCCACCCGGGCGAGTCAGAAGCCAGTTAAATCCGGGAGGGTAACACGTCATCCAGGTTATGAAACATTTCTAGTGGCGCCCACATGTGGAAGAGGCATGTGGAAGGTACGTACATGCCTTTCTTCAGCCTGCTAGTCCCTTCTCACGACTCTCAACCCATACGACGCACGCTTGTTCCTCAACGTGAATCCCCGTATCATGCCACTGGAACCCACGTCGAAGCCTATCAAACAACCCACGTCGAAGTATACCAAACGCCTTCGCCCGACGGCGTTCTCCATGTGGTTCCTCTCCGAAGAGCGACAGCAATATTGCCCGTCGGTATCATGCCCGGACCTCGACCTTGAACGGTGCAAGAAGTGCTGGGAATCTCTCCCATCGAACGTTCAAGACGAGTACGAACGACAGGCCCAAGAATGGTATTAGTTTGGGGCTGCGTAAGTACGCTCCTTCGTCGGATGATAGGCATCGTTTGACACCTTGCCAGCCGGTGTAGCTGAGGAACATCTGCACTACACACTTCGATCTGGTCTCGTGTACGGGGGATGCGAACGTAGGGTTTCATGTAGCGATCGCGGCTATAGCCATCGTGCATTTGTACAAATGTTACTGCACATGTTGTCGTCCCGCTCTGACCCAAGGAGATAGGTCGAACCATGAGATAGATGGGCTATTGTCGGCACTCCTACAACACAGAAGGTTGAAACCGTACGTACGTTTGAACAGCACGTCCGACGTTCGGCGATTCGAACTGAGCGGCGGTTGAATCCAAAGGGCGGTTGGAACCGAACAGGGGTTCGAACTAGCGATATGGGCTCAATCGCGCATGCGTGATATCACACCGACGAGAGCAACCGCTAGCGTGAACGGGTCCCAAAGTACGTTCCTTAGTTTTTCCCATCAGATTGATGTCTGATTTCATTGGCGACGCATTCGAGCATGCGCTTACGAGCAGGACCCTGGTATCACCTCAAGCCCGTCGAGAACGCTTGCTTTCAACCCCCACATGAAGAAATCCTTCCTGGAGCCTCTTCCCGGACGCCACCTGCTCCACCTCTCGCTTTCCCGCACCGTCGCCCTCGCATCCGCCATCCGCCTTCCTCGTTTCCACCATGGGCGCCCGCAACAGCCTCACCGCAGAGGAGATCAAGTGGCGTAACGAACAGTATCAAACTCCCGCCATACGGAACCTCATCACCATGAACGGGAAGTCGAAGGTGTTCAGGCATCTTTACCCGTCGTCTCCAGCAGAGGAGAAGGCATGGAAACACAAGGTAACCTCTGACCGTATAGGTGTTCTCGTGGCCGCTGCAAGGGTTATGATCAACAACTATCGCAAGGAGAACGTCGGGGTCCCCCCCAAGGGGACGGACCCTGAGGTGTTCTATGCCCGACGAGAATTCGTAAGTGGCCAACGTTCTGACGCATTGGTAATTAGACTGAACATGCGTAGCTATTCCACTCCGATGTGAAGATCGCTCGCCACAGGCGTCGTTTCAAGGTTGACCCCATCGCCACTCCGAACCTCGACCCTAAGCAGCCTCGCAAGAGGACCGCCTACCAAATGTGGCAGGCCTCGGAGGAACGCGCGCGAGATTGCCCCTTTGTGAAGGACATCTCGGGCCGAGTGCTGATAGGCATTGACACAGCCGCGTCGAGAGAGGCCTTTGAAAAGCTCGACCCATCTATCCGTGCCTACTTCGCCGCTCTCGCAGATGAATACAACGACAACCGCAAGACCCTTCAAATGACGCACAAGCAGCGGCTTACGTGAGTGCTCCTTGCGAGGACATATTATCATATCACCTGACGCATGGCACAGTTTTGCTCCGGTGGTCACGAACTACATGCGCAGATGCCTCGAGCAACTGTACGAGATCTCGGGCATACAAGGCATGTTCATTGCGGCCGGAGTGAACAATGAGGGCGAGATCGTGGTTCACGAGTAAGAACCCTCCGCTACGTTTTGATTTATTCCCTCACACGCATGGCCAGGGTCGAGCAGGGGAAGGACGCCGAGAATCGCTCCATGGTGGACTTTCTGCACGCAGCCTATAAGTCCAAGGTGAAGAAGATAAAAAGGCTCACCACCAAGGTAGAAGTGCTCGCTGCCTTGCTTGCCAAGGCTCAGAAGGCAGGCTTCAAGGCCAACCTCCCAGCCGACGACGACGACGACGGCGACGACGACGACGAGTTCGCCGAGCACCAGGACGTTCCGGGTGTCCTATGGCAATGGGCGGATGCTATGGTAGAGGGTGCGTGGCTATAAAAAGCTCTCTTGATCATTCCCTAACGTTTCCCAGAGGAAAAACGATGGCGCACGGACACGGAGGACGACGACGAGGTCATCGACCGCGACTGCGACGACGACGACGACGACGATGACGACGATGACGACAACGACCGACGACGACAACGACAACGACGACGAGTTGCCACCAATAGAGACCTGTGGCAAGACCTACGGGAAGCCTGCCTACCTCAGTGGGGTCACCAAGGCCTCGGACGGTACGTCATATTGGTCCTCCTCGAAACCCGTTTGACGCCCCACCCTCCCCTTGCCAGGCGAGCCCGAGCATGACCGCAATGGCACGACGAACGCTAATGGGTATGCTGGTGCGCGACAGCAAGCGGACAGCGACTCAGCCCCTGCCTTCGGTATGCGACGTTCCATTCATGCCCTTCACAAGGGCTAACAAAGTATATGCAGAGGGCGCCAAGAAGAAGGCCTCGATCAAGGCGGGGAAACCTTCGAAGGCCACCATTGCCCAACCCGGAGACGGGAATGCACCGAAGCGCTCAAAAGAGAGTGCGTAGACAGTTTCGCCCCCATGTATAATGTCCCCACTGACGATTGATCGACCAGAGCGTGATGCGGGTACAACCAAGTCGGCACCTCGCACGAAGAAACCTCGCACACCCGTCGACGACGACGAGCCACAGCCCTCTCCCAGTACGCATGTCAGTCACCCTTATTGCTCTGCGCTGACCAGACGTTCACGAACAGAGCGCGGCGCGGGTGCATCCAAGTCAGCACCACGCACGAAGAAAGCTCGAGAGCCCATGCTCTCAAGCTCGGACGACGAAGACTTCCAACAACCCGCTCCCAGTACGCGTATCTGTTACCATGATAGCCCTGCGCTGACCCGACGTTCTCGAATAGAGCGCGGCGCGGGATCCAAGTATGCACCTGCAAACAAGAAGGGTCACCCTCGCGTGCCTGTCCTCTCGAGCGACGACCAAGAGGGTTAGCAATGTTCTACCAGTACGTATCCACGTTAGTAGCATGGCTGACTGCAATCACAGAAACCGCGCCGCTCCCCCCGCTCCCCCGTACAAACGCTCGTGCCAAGGCCTCCGGGGCGAGCACCGGCACCCAGGCTGAATCGGTGGAGAACGCCGCGGCCGCTGCCCCGAGTAAGCGCTCATCCGTATTGAGCGCGTACAGCTCTGACTCCAGTCGCAGAAGCTCCACTTCCGCCGCTCCCCCGTACAAATGCTCGTTCCAAGGCCTCTGGGGCAAACACCGGCACCCAGGCTGAATCGGCGGAGAACGCCGTGGCCTCTGCCCCGAGTAAGCGCTCATCCGTTTGAGCGCGTATGGCTCTGACTCGAATCGCAGAAGCTCCACTGCCGCCGCTCCCCCGTACAAAAACTCGTCAAAATACCACTGGCAAGGACGGTGCATTGGAATACAAAGGTGAGCTTTGCTGTGGGTCGTTACCTGTGTCATTCTGACAGCCTCTTCGGCAGAGAACGCACCCCCTGCGCCTAAGCCTCGTCCTCGTAAGAAGCCAGGTCAAACCACTCCTTCCCAAGAACTCCCCAACAAAGGAGAAGGTGCAACCACGCCTGATGAGACGGAGCCTGACCCAGAGAACTCTGGAAACGGCAAAGGGAGCGCCAAGAAACCCGCGGCTGAGACGAAGAGGGTGCTCCCGGCCCGAAAGACCCGAGGCCAGTTGCCGGCACGCTATGACGAAGAAACTGGAGGGTGAGAAATCAATTTCACGAGAGCCTGCGTCCCCTCACACCGGATTGTCAGCGCGGCGACCATGGACGACAGTCAAGAGGCAGAGCGTGCCGCTAGAGACAAGATGTTCATGCAAGCACGTGCAGGGCGATTGGAGACCGACACGTCCGAGGCCGGCCCGTCGAAGAAGAGGTCTCGTAACGAGCGGTGAGTGCCTATGGCTGTCGGAAATACGGCTCTGACTCCATACGTCCGCCAGCGACTCCGAATACGAGGAGACGGCGGCGACTGGAAAGGACGGAAGGGGTGGGAAGAAATCTCAGAAGAAGGGAAGGAAGTAGTTCGCCGTCTGCGCGTCAGTCCTCCGCGCGCCGAGTATGCTCGTCGCAGTTCTGCATAGTGCCGTATATCCCTTGTCCATTCGAACCGGTCGCCTTCATAATCTCGGATATGAAGGCGACAGAGCGCGTATAGTTTCCGTAGTTCTGCATAGTATAGTACCTCTAAGTCATTCTGATAGGCTGCCTTCATAATCTCGGGTATGAGAACGGCACGTTACACTCGTCCCACACTCACAGATTCAGATACTATTATAAGGCACATGCGAATGTCAGGGGAAGAACGAGTACCCTGGGAGTGAAACCTTTTCCGCCCGTCTCCTTCATCCCGTCTCCTTCATCCCGCCCGTCGATCATCTTCCTGCGCCATCACCTTCCTGCGCCATCACCCTTCTGCGGTCCCCACCCCTACTCTCTCTCTGCCCCGAGTGCTCTCAGCCCACGGCCACACACGCACACTGCGCCGACACCCCTCGCCGACGCTCCAGTGCTTGTCTTCCCGTTTTCTCGTCCGACCCAACCATGGCTAGGGGTTTAATGCCTATGTTGGCGTGGGCAAAGGTACGTTCTCTCTGCGTTTGGAGACGCTAGCTAATCACCCTATAGGCAGACACCGGTCCTGCAAGGCGCTACGTAGACGTGCGTCAAGATACCGTGCGACTCTCCGACATACTCCTCCTCAAAGAGTTCATGGGGGAACACGAAGACAATATATACGCGTGGCAACGTGGCCTCTGGGAACTCAAAAGCTACGACAGCGACACCATTGAGATCACCGCCAACATGCCGGCTCTGCTGTTCCGTGGGTCGAAGATTGGTTTCTGTGTCGGTTTGGCGGAGGAGCTGAGGGAATGGGACCGCGCCCTGAACGGGGGAACTCTGCCTCCTTTCAACGCTACAATTTGTTTTGGGGAGCGTGGGATGGGATTTGGCACGGTGGTAATGGCTTGGATTGAGGTGCGTACTTGGAGCCATACGGATGTTGCGCGTGCCATTCATCCTCACTCAGGCAGACGAAAGGGCGTCGCCGTACATGTGCTGGGTTGGAAACATGGAGGGCGCTACCTACCATAGTCTGCTGCAAAAGACCAAAGCCCTCGTCGAAGGCAAGATCGATACCACTGAAGTATTTGACTCGGTGGAGGGTGAGCCTCACCCGCCTTTGCGTCTCTGGCATTACCGCACCTCCCAATGGGCCCCACGACGCCCATCTGAAAAAGCGCCATCTGGCACACTCGTTCTGTTACGCAACGTTCACAACCGTTGGCCGTTTAACGCGAGCGATATCATGTTGCAGTGGGAGAAGGCGGGAAAAGAAGGCCATCCGTGGCACTCAAAGGTGAGTATGCTGGCGACGAACTACGGAGCGGGTATGTCACTCATATTGACCCAAGTTCCCCGTGCAGACTCGCCTGAACTTCGCCAAACTCGAGACGCCCCTGGTTCACATTAAGACCGAGAAACCCGCGGATGCGGACGCAGCTGACGAGGATGACGGCGATGCCGCTGATGTGAGGGACGATGATAGGTCAAGGGACATGGATATTGACCCTAACGACGTGGACCCCAACGACGTGGACCCAAACACTTGATAGCATAGATAGAGTACGCAGTCACACGTGGGCTAGTCAGAATGTAATATCAGCCCGATGGCAATGGGGCGAGTTCAATCCCCTGGCAGATAGCCTACATGACCGACGAGGACACCTCGAAGGTGACGACGAGGACCGACGGTATGTACGCATGTCTGAAAGAATGGAAAGCGCTGACCTCATGCATAGCTGAGATCGTGGCCAGCATTCCGCCCAGGAAACTACGCGCACTTCTCCAAAGCGTAGTGGACTACGCGAACAGCGTGACAAGTAAGGCAAGGTCAAGGCGGCCTAGTGCCAGGGCAAGGGGTCTAGATCCGTGAGTTCGATACCTTGTGTTTGAGACTAGACTGATCATGCCCAGATTGAGGACAATCAATGTTGCCCGAGACGACGCACAGGCAGGGGGTCCGGGCTACGACGCTCAGGCATGCGCCCCAGACCCCGGGACTCCGTTCGGCCGTCGGACCTAGGGAGCGGCAATGAACAGGTTGGGGCGCCAGACTCAGGAAAGAGCGACCGTTTGGAAGCGGTCTGATAGTTCTTTGGGGAACACTCGACCGCATGTACATCTCAGGCGATCCACACACGTACCCCCGGTGATATCGACAGCTTGAACTCCCCGACAGCACGACGCCCAGTCCCCCACCTGCCCGTCTCCCTCAGCTTGACCCGCCGCACCGTCCAGCCATCACACTTACCCGTACCATGTCTCTACCTCCCATCACCCGTCTGTACTCGACGAAGAAGGGCATTCACTTGGTGACACGGGGTCGCAAGCTTAACGACGTCAAGACCATGACCGACCCCATCCGTGAAAAGTGTCTCGCGGGGCTGTCAGACAGGCTGCCAGACGCACTCGGTTCCAATTGCTCACATTGTGGCCAGACGATCGACCGCGAGGTCCTAGTGTTTCCTGTGTTCAAGATAGGTCACACAGGAACGGTTTCAGTGAAGGTGAGTGGCGTTATACGCATCCTAAACCCCTCGCACGCTCACAAACGCGCACAGTGCCCCTTCTGCCTCAAGGTATTCTTTCCACCGCAATCTGGACCGCCGGAGAAGCAGCTACGGATGATCGAAGCCCAACGATATTACGACATGGCTCAGGAGCGCAACCCTAAGGAGTACAATGACACCCCCGACGTCGTCGACATGCTCAAATCCCTTCAGCACTTGATCGCCGCCGAGATGGCGTTGCGTCCTCGCGATGACACCCGTTTGAAGCTAACAACGGCGAAGAAGTCCAAGGCCAAGGTCACGGCCAGAGTTCATCGAGAGGTGCCCTCACGGCGCAAGGTGAGCGCGTTTTTCAATGAGCACATCACGCGGCCTCACTCGATCCTCGAAGTCGCCGACGCGCAAACGCACCACCTCAAGGATTTCTAAGGGCAAATCCGTTGCGACGCAGCACGAAAGGCTCTCCACCCCACCTCCGGGAGGGAGACCTAGGGTAAGAACCTGCACCCCAACACATTATACATCACCTGCTGACATCCTCCTGCGCACGACAGTCCCCGACGCCTCTAGGTCAACGACAGGGCGACGAATTGGTCGATGCGATGGTGTGGGTAGACGTAAGCCATACTTTCTTATCCGTCCAAACAAGCATGTCTGAATGTGTGCTCCACAGAAACATGAATCGCCTGTGGAGATCCCAGTGTACGCGCGCAATGGGGAGATATCCCTTGCACTGAACCACAGGCTCAAGAAGGTTCTGAGCCCTGTACACACCTTCCGTCGTCTTGACATCATGAGGCAGGAGTGGCAAGAAATACCCTCCGAGCCGATGGCGATCACCTTGAGCGATATTCACAAGTTGTTCCTTCGCTCCACTGACGTGGGATGCTGCCTGCAATTCAGCACCTTCTACACCTATTGGGAACAAGCACGAAGTCAAACGGGCGACGAAGGCCTTCTCAGCTCTCTGGGCGTCGAAAATTCGACACACCCACGCGTAGCCCTGTTGTGGAACATGGTACGTGCGGTTGTTTAAGCGTGTCGGCGCAGCTGACGCCCCGCCACGGGACGCCAAAAGGCTGGCTTTAGTCCCGACGTCCTCTTCATCCCTGACGACATCGCACAACTTCAGTCCGAGCTATTCCGGCGTGGCAAGTCTTGGGTATGGGAACGTCGACAGACACAATGGCGTGCGTTTTGGCCCGGCGAGGACCCCATCTCCCTCGTCAGGCACCTCGACGAGCCCATCGTTCTGTTCAAGACCTTCTCCTATGGAGAAGTACCTGGACTAGGCTCTGCATTACGTATCTTGGACCCGTCCTTGAGAGCGATGACCAAGGTATGTCTACTCCGTCACCGTGACCTCACTCATACTTATGGACGGGCAGATGGTAATGCAGAACGTCGTCCGCCCGTCAAACGGGGCACTCAATCAAAGGGTGCCAATGCTACAGGTAAAGTACGGCACTATCGCAGAAACCCAACTTCGCTGACCTGTTGACACAGACGTCTTCTGCCAGGACGACGAACGCAACGCCCATGACCTGGTCCTTGGGTAGAGTGCCCACGGCTTCCGGTATCCTGCCTTCTCCGTCCAAAGCCACGTCGTCACGTGTTAAGTTGGAGGATGACATAATTGAGCTGTCTGACTGAGGACTGTGGCTTGAATATATAAGTACGAAGTAGATACATGTGCGTGGTGTGGGAGAAACAGACATTTCGGCGACGGAGAGACGGAGAAATGGTCGCGGTGCGACGCATGAATTCGACGAGTGTCGCTGTGCTTTGCATGGCCTACGACCAACAGCCCAATGGACACGACGGTGATGGAGGCTTATCAAGCCGTCGCGCTGGGGAGCGGAATGATGGATCCAGGGGCTCAATTATCATGCGAATGTAGAGGGGGTGAAGAGATGAACCCGCGTCCCGCCGCCCCGCCGCCCGCACGTCGCGCGTCCCAGTGTCGACCTCGCCGCCCCCGCGTCCCTGCCGTCACCGCGTCCCCATCGCCCACGCTGCCCTGCGCTTAGACCACCATCGTCACAACACACAATGACCCAGGGTCCCCATACCGAAAGTATGCACGGCAAGTATTGGGCAGGAGTGAGTGGATTTTCTTGTTGAACCAACCATGTACTGAGATGCGTTTAGACGGGTCCAGAGCGGGCCTTCTTTGTGCGCGCTGGTGTCGTTCCTGGTGTGGTCCGTTGGGAAGACACACCCTTTCTCCAAAGCTTGAAGGCTGCTGGGGAGCAATTAGAGCACTGGATCCGAGGTAACTGGGAGGAAGTTAGCTTCGACGACCATATACCGTTGAGCGCTCTCACCTTCGCGATCCTCCTAAGGAAGAAAGAGTCAGGGCAGAGCAAGAACCTGGGAGCAGAGTTACTGAAGTGGGATGAATACCTGCTGAAGGGCGAAGACACTCTGCAGCTGGTATTCAACTTCGACCTAGAGCAGGGCTGCAACGGACTGATGGTGATCGCTTGGCTGAAGGTGCGTGCTCCCCTACTTCGAGAACCTGCAGGCTCTGAGGGGCTCTCAGGCCGATGAGTTCGCCCTTCCTTCGACGTTCTTCATCCAGAACGAAGGGAAGACATATGGAGAGCTCCTCCAGGCTTACAAGGGGGAGATGAAGAAGGGCCCTCACGACCCGTCGGAGATCTTAGACCTCGACTCTGGTAATATCTGGTACTGGAGCCACTACCGTTCCCGGTGGATCGCGAGGAAGAGCGATAAACCCATTCCTGCACAGAATGTGATCATGATCCGTTCTTTCCGTAACCGTTGGCCTCTGCACGCGTCGAAGATTATACACCTGTGGGAGACAAAGGGTCATGACCAGAAGATTTTCCACTCCGTACGTACCTTGCCTGGCCACCGCTCACTAGCTAATCAATATTTCAGAAGAGCTTTGACATGAATGTCGGTGAAAATAAGGTAAAGCGGAGTTTGTCCCTCGACGTGTTCTGTATTAAAATGCTCCTCAGGCCGGGCGCAAGCGTTCACGACGTACAGAACAAGCAGTGTAGGCCAGTACACAGTAGACATACATACCATGTCCGCATCTTTCTCGCCGTGTGCAAGTGCATCGGTGACCAGCAGGTATCGAGTCCGTCCCCGGCTGGATGTCGGAGGGTACCACATGAGGCCGACGCATCCAGGTGAAACGCGGACGCAAGGGCGGACGTGAGGAGTTCACAACGAATGCGAGCCCGACAGCATTGCTGTGCTAACCAAACGCGCTCTAGGAGAGCGCGCCGCCATCCGCACGTCTACTGCGCGGCACTGGGGGAGCGGACTGTGTGTGTGCGCGAATGTGAGAAGGGCTAGTTGGTGGCACACGTATCAACGGGCGACGCCTGCGAAGTGCATCTTGACGCGCCTTTTGGGTGACGGGATGAGATCAGCAGAAGAGATGTGTATGTCTCACTGGAAAGAGGAGGATTTCAGCTGTGAGTCCGGTCAATGTACCTCGCAGTGCCCGCTCTGAATGGGTGGTCTCCTCTCTCACAGTAACAGTGGGAGTGGACGTGCTTGAGGAGACGAAATATATTTGATGGGTGACATCCAAGTACTGTACATGACCGAACATGAACTAATACTACAGACTTTCAAGGCAAAAAAGATGGACGTGTGATTCAAAGCATTACGAAGAGTTAAGCTACGGTACGGTACGTTACGGGCTACTCGGCCTTCAAGCGGGCGCCTGCCACTGACGACGGCACATCAGGTCCCACTCCCAGTGCTTGAAACGCTTGGCTTCGAAATTGAAGCTTTTCACTATCCAACGCCCGATTCTGTAAAGTGTCTCGTCATCGGTCGCGCGCGCAGGGTGGCGATGTACTTACAGGTGAGAGTGGTGGGCACTAACGTTCCCTCTGCCGTCGTGAGGCTATGAAGCCGTGTCAGCCGTGCGCGCGAGACCGAATGCGAAACGGAACGACATACCGCATGAAAAGATTCGACGTTGTCGTTCGCGGCGAGCACACGGCACCTACCCGCGCGGAATCGAACGATGATCGTGTTGTCCCGGCGAACCACCTCGGCACCGAGACCGTAATGCAGAGCCTGAAGGCGAAGGTGAGCGCGGCGTGAGAGATAATGAACGGAATGCTCACCTCCTCGATGCGTCCAAGCGTCAGCTTGGAGTGGCGTGTGTGGATCATATCCTCGAGGACCTGCGGAAAAGGTAAGCACGCGCGATCTGCACCAGAATGAACGCTCACTTCTCTGTGGTTGGGGTGCATCGCAGGCATGGTGACGAGAGCGAGAGAGAGAGCGAAGAGCGAAGAGCGAAGAGCGAAGAGCGAAGAGCGAAGAGCGAAGAGCGAAGAGCGAAGAGCGAAGAACGAAGAGCGAAGAGAGCGAAAGAGAGAACGAGCGAGGGAAGTGAGGAGACAGAGGAAGAACGCGAACTTGAGCGCCGCGCGCGAGCCAGCAAGCGCCGCGCGCGCAGGCGTAGCGGAGGCGCGAGAAAACCGGGGCGGGGAGCGGCCCGGGCGCTGGGCGTGCGCAAAGAACGCCGGAGTCCGAGAAACTCGGACTCGAGCTCAGGCCCCGAGGCGCGCCCAGGGCACAGCCACCCCGGGCGTGCCTCAAATGACGTCGGTGTCTTAATGATGTCGCATGCTCAGATGTTGTAACCGTGCCATGGTTGTAACCGTGCCATGGTTGTAACCGTGCCGCGGTTTCAACCATACGACGGTTTCAAACTGTGCCATGGTTGTAACCGTGCCACGGTTGAAACCGCAGGACGGTTGAAACCGTCGTATGGTTGAAACCGCGGCAAGGTTGTAACCACAGCACGGTTCAAACCGTCGTATGGTTGTAACCGCGGCATGGTTGTAACCGTCGTATGGTTGTAACCGCGGCATGGTTGAGTTGAAACCGGGGCACGGTCGTAACCGCGGCACGGTTGAAACCGCGGCAAGGTTCAAACCGTCGTATGGTTGTAACCGTGGCAAGGTTGTAACTACTGTATGGTTGTAACCGCGGCAAGGTTGTAACCACGGTACGGTTACAACCTTGCCGCGGTTACAACCATACGACGGTTTGAACCGTGCTGTGGTTTCAACCATACTCAGCCCCATTTGAACCGTACCGAACGGTAGGTCCACACCATGGTTTCGACCTGTGTACAGCACACTTCAATACAATTCGAAAGCAGACTGCAATGGCATTAGGAAGCATGGAGTAAGAAGAGGCATTAGGGTGCCATAGTAATTGAACTCATATGAGACTACAGAGTTGTTATGGTGTATTAGTAGCGGAGTTGATGTCATAGTTAAAGGACCCGTGCAGAGAAGCAAGGTCTCGTGGCGTAGTGGTAAAGCGTTCTGGTTAGCGTCATTGTTCAGGTCGCGAGTTCGACCCATGTATTCGATATTCATTTTGACTATGAGATGTCAATGTTCAAGCGATCATCACAACTTGCACATTGTTATTTGCATTCATTATGGATGTGTAGTAGTGGTAATATATACTGTGGTGTGGTTGCAACCATACTACGGTTTCAACCGTTGCATGGTTGCAACCATGCACCTTACAGGGCTTTGGTTGCAACCCTGGCACTGAGACCCCTCGGGTTGTACGGGGACGTACGAATGACCGTGACACCGTGGCGGCGCAGGAGCAGAGCGCAAGCGCCGTCGAACTCGGGCCCATTGTCGCAGACGATGACCGGGACGCAGCCGAACCTGCAAATGATGTTCTCCCACAAGAAGGTAGCCCAGGCCTCCGCGGTGTTGGCCTTGACGGCACGAGCTTCTTCCCAGTGGCTAGTCGCGCAGACAGCGTGGAGGAGGTAGCGGAAGCTGCCGTTCATGAAGATGGTGTCGATGTGGAAACGCCGGAGGACGCAAGGGGTGATCCTGGACTTGGACGAAAGTGGTGCTAGCTCGCGGTGCTGGGACCGGAATTGGCAGCTATAACAAGAGCGGACGAACCAGACGCAGGCAGCATACAGGTTGGGGAAGAAGTAACGCTCGCGGAGCAAAGCGAATGTCGCCGCGGCGCCACGATGGCCAGTGGTGTTGTGCGCCGCAGCCACGATACGCTTGCGAGCGGCGGTGTCCGTGACCACGAGGAGAGGGTGCCGGTCCGCGCGAATACGCCAGATGCGCCTATGCCCCACAATGTAGCAGCGACGCATACGACCGACGCGTGCCTTTAAGGTCGGGTCGGTGGGTTCGGCGTTCTCGACCTCCGCGCGCCAGAAAGCAGCCCATGGCGGCTCGCGATCGCCGCGGTGCGCCTCGTGGAGAGTGTCCCCAGGGGAGACAGCTGATGTGGGAGCGGGGACAGTCTTCGCCTGCAGCGACATCGGGAACGTCGGGATCTCGTCGCCGAACTGCTGCGGTGCGTAGTGGGGACCGTCCATGCCCGCCGGCGGGAAGGGGGAGCGCGCAGAGAGGGAAGTGGAGAGAGTTTGACGCGGTTCCCGGAGCATGGGCTTGTAGAGTGTAATCGGAAAGACGCACGTCTCACCGCCGAGGTCGCATTCGCATTCCTGGGGTTCAGAGGGCACTGCGCGGATACGCCAGTCGTTGAAGAAGGGGGCGGTCGACGCGGAGGACAGCATGGACGAGCAGGGGGACGTGGGGCTCCATCCTTCGGTGTAGACCGAGAACTGACTGAGGTGTACTGGTGCGATGTGCGAAAGACCCCCAAGGGTAAGGCCGACGGTTGGATTGAAGGTGTCGTAGCCCCAGCTTGATTGCCGTGAAGAGGGGTCGGAGTGCGCAGTCATGGATACGGAGGCGATGCTAGTGAGGATAGCGCGTACTGTCGAAGAGGGTACGAGTGAGGGGAAATGGCAAGGCGCAGGACGTTGGACCGCAGGACGTGAGCTGGGGAGGCAGGGACGGACGGGTGCCAAGGGAGGTGCGGTAGGCCTTAAGTGGGTAACCACACGACCGAAGAAGTCGTCCAGATGCTTCTCGCCATCGGATTCATCGGAATCGTCGGGCGCGGGCGGGCGCCGAGACAAGGCATCCTGGGGGATCCCTCGGGAGGCCGGGATGTGCTGGAACGTAAAAGAGAAGAGCGAGAGGTATGCCACCCAGCGCGTCATCGGGGCATTGGGAAGATCCGGCTCAGACAGCATTTGAGCTAGGAACTGTGCATCTCCCCGTAAGAGGAAGTAGAGTCCCCACAGGCGATGGCGGAGCTCCTTGACGGAACGGAAGCAGCCATAGAGTTCGCACTTTGGCTGTGAGTACCGTGACTCCGTCGCCGAGAACGTGCAGCCGCCATACAGCGCAGGGTGGAGCTCACCGTCGTGGTATTGTGCGAGAACCCAACCGGCGCCGTGGAGCGAGGAGTCAACAGAGAGCACGATGAGGCCTTCCAGCGGACCTTTGACGCCATCCACCGCGTCGCGAGTGATAGCGCGTGCGGCTGGGTAGTTGATGGGACGCAGTACTGGGGCTGAGGACACAAGCTTCTTCAAGGAATCTACGGCGTCGCGGGCATCCCGGGGCAGGGCAAAGCGTTCAGTGGGGTCCGATCGAAGGAGCAACGTCAGCGGCTTCGCAATGAGCGCGAAGTTGGGGATCCATCGCCGACCGACGCCGGCAACCCCGAGGAAGCTGCGGACGTCGGTGATAGACTCCAGATATGGCCACTTGAGCACCTTCGCCGCGAGACCGTGGCTCAACTCCCAGCCTGCTTGTGAGACGACACTCCCGACGAGGGTCGCTTTTGGTGTCGCGGGGCAGAACTTGAAGCCAGAGGCAGTCACATGGGCGGTCTCGAAGCGGTGGAGGACGCGGTCGAGAGCCGTGCAGTATTCGTAAATGAAACGGCGCACAGGCGAGGTGGGTGTGATGGACGCGTCATCGTACGTCGTTGGCGGGCCCTTTACGCCACAGTCGTCCACGAAGATGTCGGCAAACTTTGGTATGTCGTCTGCGAGGATATGTCGTGTGCAGCGAACGAAGTCAGCTACAGCATTAGTGGCGCCTTGCGGGAGAACTGTACACCGCCCAGTGACCTCCATGCATTGGAAGGTGGTCAGATCCCTCGAGCGAACGTCCAGGGTCCGAGCATCGTAGCCGGAGAAGAGGTCGATGACACCGTAACAGGAGAGGCCTGCAAAGCTCTCCGCAAAGTCGTCCGGACGCGGGGGCAGGGCTGCGTCGCGTATTGTGACTGCATTCAGCGCCTGGAGGTCGTGCACGACACGGAGAGAGCCGCTTTTCTTGCTGACGGCGAAGACGCGAGACCGGTAAGACGAGCAGGAGCTCTCGTACTTGCCTGAGTTGAAGTTCGAAGTGAGGATGGCCCGAACTTCGTCCTCTGCGGCCTTCGGAACGGGGATCGGCTTCTGCACCCATGGCGTGTGCTCGATGACCGGGATGACGTAGTCCGGGAAGTACTCGTGGTTGAACGTCCCACGCTCTGCATCGGTGAAGGCGAGGGCCCCGCGGCGTGAGCTGATGATGTAGGTGACGAGGTCGAGCTCCGCTGGGCGGAGGAAACCCTCAGGGATGGTAGCCATGATCAGGTCGAGCCGTTCTTGCGTAAGGCGGTCGCAGGGGACGAAGGAAGAACGTGCAGGTGGGTGGACGGGCAGGGGTGGCAGGACGGGGATCGGCAAAGGGACGAACGCTTGTGCGGAGAGATCAGGCATTGTCGTTGGCACAGGGCGAACTTTGCGCGCAACAGGTTTGTACCGGCGACCAGGAGCAGCGAGGTGGGTGGGCGGAGAAACGGATAGCGCGCGAGAGACGAAATCGGAGTTGACGGGGCGGAGGGGAAGGTCGTATGCATATTCGCAGGTTCGCAGGAGGCGATCAAAGGTCGGGGGCGGGTTGAATGTAGAAATGTAGGCATTGTCAAACGAGTCTGTGCGGAACGAGGGATGACCAAGGAGGATGTGAAGAGTGCGACCGAAACAAGGCAGCGGGGGCGGTGTCGCACTGGCAGAATCCGCGCCCGCTAGTGAAAAGACGTTGCCAGAACGGTCAGGGAGTCCGACGTGAACACAAGGCGGTCCGTGTTGCGGGAGTTGTTCGCGGTGCAGAGTTGGACGGTCACTGCGACCCCAGAGGTTGTCCCGGTGGGGTACGCCGTCATGTGTACGCCGCCGTCGCGCGAGTACGTGAGACTGGCTACATGCGCTGCAAGCCAGGGCTGTCCCAGGATGCCGCCGTACGCACTGCGGTCCGCCGGGGTGACGAAGAAGTGATGGTCGAAGTTACGACCCGAGATCTGGACCGGAGCTTCACGGCAGCACCCCAGGAGCGCGACGGGATCGCCTCCAATGCCCTTCAGCGTCCAGCGTGCACCATCGCGGTCGATCGCGAGACGTGACTTCTCCCAGATGCCACTGTTGATGAGGTTGAGCTCGGAGCCGCTGTCGACGAGGAACTTGCACTTCTGGTTCCCGAAGACACCGTCTACGAAACCTGCCGCCATGGCGAATAGGCGAGTCGATGAGCCTGGTGTCGTGCTGATCGCATCCGCATAGCGAAGAATGACGTCGTCGAGGTGTTCGGAGTCTGCGTTGTATGACAGGATGGCCGTGGAGGAGGGCTCGTCGGCGGGCCTGGGTACGTCATCGTCGTCCGACAAGACTTCTTCGATATACGATGCGGGGACTGTATCGGTTGCGAAGGATGCAGCGGCCGGGGGTGCATCCGGTATCGAGTAGTCCCGGCGGGGTTTGACGAGTGCGGCGACTTTCCTCTGTAAGCTTGGCGCCATAGCCAACGCCTCGCGCAGCGTCATAGTGATGTGAGAATCGAGGAGACGATCGTGGACGTCGTCGAGGACGATGCTCTGCTGGACTTGAGAGGTGAACTTGAACGGCTTCGCAGGCGAACGACTGAACGAGTGGTGTGGCGGGGCGTCAGCATCAGGAACCTCTTCGACGGTTGTGGGGTGCTTCTTCTGACGGTATTCTTGGAGGAAGCCTTCTTCCGTGTTGCGAAAGTGTGGAGGCGGCACACTGGGCGGAAATGCGGGGGTGAAAGCGGGCTCGGTAGGGCTGACAGCGGGCTCGAAGCGGACCGTCTTTGGAGGAGGCGTCAGTGCCTTCGCCTTCGACCGGGTGGTGACAGGGAAGGATGACGCAGCAGCCGGGAACGCGAAGGACCCCGCGTATGAGAATACGGGCTCGTCATCGAGGTAGAGGCCAGCCGCACGCGCAGTGGCTCCGAGGACCTGGGCGTTGCCGCTCTGTGAACGCATCCACGCAGCGAGGCCTTGAGGGAGTTGGTTGAAGCGTGGTAGGTAGCCTTTGTCCGTACGTTCCAACATGCCAGTGGTAGGATGGTACTGCAGGATACGGTCCTGGATGAGCGCGGTCGTCTCTGGGCAGTTGCGCATGCCGAAGGGGTGTGAGAGCCCGTTGTTCTCGACGCCGCCGCACATGTAACAGACCCGATGACCGGGAGGACCAGGGTTCGAGCCAGAGGGCTGTGCGGCGTACGCCGTGGGGTACCCCGCTGGCGCGGTAGCGAACGGGTTGAGGGCTGGTCCGGCATTGTGCACCCCCGCGTATACGCCAGAGGAACCAGCAGGAGGAGCCAGCAGGCCTGGATCGGTGTGCGTCGGCGCGGACGTCTGCTTTTTGAGTAGTTCAAGTTGCAAGCGAAGCACCTTCACCTCCTTGCGCGTGGACTTGTGACCACGACGTCCAGAGCGGACCTCGGAGTCTGAGTAGGACGAGAGCCTGTCGCGACGCGTCTTCTTCTTGCCCTTGCGCTTCGGAGGTGAGGCAGTGTCGTCCCCCGAGGAGTATGGTGCGGCGTCTGAGTCCGAAGAATCGGCCTCGCTATCAGAGCTGGAGCTGTCCGAGTCGGGTGCAACACGCTTGCGACGGCGACGGTAGGCGTCGATCCCACAGGATTCGTAGTACTCCGTGACCGCTGCGCAAACCTCCGCGACGGAAGCAGGGTTCGTCCGGGGCTCGAACTTCTCACCCGTACGTGTGTGGACGACGGTCTTCAGGGTGGGCCCGATCGAACCGCGGAGAGAGTCTGGCAGGCCAATGAAGAATAGGTAGTCATGTTCCTTCCGCTCGAGGAGACTTTCTTCGACTAGTGTCCCACTGTACTTCATGAAGTCAAGACGGTACTCGCTGAGAGCCTCTTCGGAGTCGACAGTCTGCTTCTTCCGACTCTTCGCTGCGAATGACCGAAGGCGCTGGGGCGGATAACGCGCGGCAGAGTCGCGGAAACGGAAGATGGAGTGGAGGAGTGCCTTGGCCGCAGCCCAGTCGGTCCCCTTGAAGACAGGTTCGCCAGCGAGACGGTTGCGGATGTCCGAGTCACAGTACGAGAGTACACAGTGCACACTTGGGAAGATCTTCGCGTTTCGTGCCGACGTTGTCCGCTATGGCCTCCAGCTCGAACAGGAAGTCCTTGACGTTCCGGCCCTTGAAGCGTGGGGCAGTCTTGGCGCGAGGCGCAGGCATCTTCGTCGCGTTTACAGACATGACAGGTTGTGCGTGCTGAGGTGGTGGGGTATGGATTCGATGCAGCGGCGGGGGAGTCAGGGAATGAGTACGATGCGATAGCGGGGGAGGCGAGAGGGGAGTCGATGCGCGAGGCCCTCTCTGGCGGGCAGTTGAAGTATCCCCCATGCGTGCTTGATTCGCTCGGTTCTCTGGACGTGTGCTTAACCGTGATACTGCACCTCGGCCGTTTGGCGGCAATGGCAGCGGTGGTGTCGGTTTAGCTGCGAGCCGTGACGATCGGCGGCCCGGGCCCGTCGGGTTGTTCAAGTTTGATCGTAACTTGCTCGCCTGTGCCGAGGGCCTGGCGGTGCCTACTGCGCTAGTGCCATGTTCGATGGGATGAGTACCACTTGAGCTTGCCAAAGGCATTCTTGTAAGAATGCTGGTGTCGAACGAGTCCGGGTGAGGGCGAGAGAGACGAGATTACCCCCCTGCGGTGGTCACCAATTGTGGGGAGCCCTTCGACGGTGCCTCCTAGACGAGACGTGTGAATAGGGTGAGCGCTGCGGATGCGCGGGGACGGATTCGGCGGTTACACGGAGGGAAGACGGATACGACGGGTAATCGGACACGGGTTCGACGGACGAGCGAAGGCGGGCAGGGAAACGCGACAGGAGAGAAGCAGAGTGAAATGTGGGGGAGAGGAAAACTGTTCATTCCGTGTGCGTTCGTGCTACTTTTATACATGTGCAGGTACTACTTCTTCACTGGGTGTGCTCTGTGACCGCGCGCTGCTCGGTCGACACGTGACCGTGTTCTGTCGCGCGCGCGCGCGTGCTTCAGAGTACCCGCGAGCGCCCAGCGCAGCGGGACTCCTACACCGTGGAGTGGCTTCGGTGAACACGGAGGTGGTAGATAACGGCCAGGCCATGGCACGCAGGAAGATGATCCAGTAACGAACATTTCGTCGTTAAAGAGTAAAGTTACGACTTGTCACGTACGGTAGCCTGTTCGTCTGTGGTCTCGATGTGATGTTTACGACTTTTGACTTTTTCTATGGGTGTCATATCGCTGGATGATACTCGAATAGAGAGCGTAGGGGTTTCTATCTGGCGCCGACGCTCTTCTTTCCTGCGTGCTGCCTTTCATCTCCGTCTTGCATCTCCCCTGGAAGCTCTTCGGCGCTCTGACGCACCGCACTACACTCCGGCGATAGGCCTCGAGTCCGCCTCCACCATACTCGGAAGGGGACCCACCGATGCGTGCCCGAACCCTTTCTGGCGGCCTCAAGTTGCTCTGGGGTAGATGGCCTGTACACCGTGTACATAATGCTCGTGTGGACGTTCCATTACAAAGAGTACTCAACCGCTGGTTGATGTCATGAAAGAATGTGCAAGCAGACAGAGTGGAAGCCAGGCCGAGGCGTGGGCGGCGAAGTTGCGCGCGACCACGCGGTATCCTGCACGCTTGACACGCTGCAAAGACGCCACACAACGGGAAAGGCCAGATGGGAACCGCCGGAATAGGACGTTCACTAGGTTGAGACCATGTTCCCTGTCACGGTCACGGCCACGGTCTGGTTTTGCGCACACCAGACAATTGAAAGACCAGGAATCATGGTCACACCATGGTCTCAGCCTGGTCTCCCTGAGCAGTGATTATATAATACAGCGCGGAGGGAGGGTGCACCAAATCGGGAGCGAATGAGTACCGCCAAGGGGTGTAATTTCTCACGTGCGGAGTAGGGGTGTGTTGATAAAGCATATACTGGCGAAGACCAGGTTGAGACCACGGTGTGACCATGATCCCTGGTCTTTGTCTGGCGTGCGCCAGAGACCGTGACCGTGACATGGAATATGGCCTCAGCCTGGTGAACGTCTTACTCCGGCAGTTCCCATCTGGCCTTTCCCGTCGTGCCAGGTGGTGAAAAGTTCTGCACAACGCCCGCGCGGCGCCCGCACAAAGCCTCGGAAGAGGCCCGTCGATTGTGCCCCAGCTCGTGCCCCCGCCGTGTCGCTCGTCGTCGGATCCCACTACCCCGCTCCTCTCGACATTACGTCTTCGCCACTGTATCCTGCTTTCTGCAGCAATTCGGCCTGACATGTGGCTTCTCAGCACCGACCGCGCAGAACTCCACTACTTCGTCTCCCCTGAAGTGGTGCCCGGAGGCTACGCCATCCTCTCCCATGTCTGGACCGACGACGAGACCCAGTTCCACGACCTCCGTGCCATCGAAACGCGCTGCGAAGACACCGGAGAAAACCCGCGCGACCTCGTCTCCTCCAAAATTCGCGAATTCTGCATTCTTGCCGCGGACCACGGCTATGCCTACGCATGGGCGGACACTTGCTGCATCGACAAGTCGAGTTCCGCCGAACTCTCCGAGGCCATCAATTCCATGTTTCGCTACTACTCCCTCGCCGGTGTCTGCTATGCCTACCTCTCCGACGTCGAGGACACGGATGTAAAGAGTGATCAGCGCGCATTCCGCAACAGCCGCTGGCACACTCGCGGATGGACGCTCCAGGAACTCCTTGCACCACTTCTCCTTCTCTTCCTTTCGCGAGATTGGGAGATACTAGGGACCAAGTCCGAGCTAGCCGAGGCACTGGAGCGCGCGACGGGGATACCAGTGAGCATCCTACGGTTTGAGGAGGAGATACGGGACGTCAGCGTCGCACAGCGGATGTCTTGGGCAAGTGAAAGGGTCACGACGCGGATCGAAGACGAAGTGTACTGTCTGATGGGGATCTTCGATGTCAACATGCCGATGCTCTACGGCGAGGGCCGGAAGGCGTTCCAGAGGCTGCAGGAGGAGATCATGCGGACCTCGACAGACACTTCTATGTTCGCTTGGGGCCTTTTGGACATCATGGGCTTGTACTCCCTGTCACGCAACGAAGAGCACGATCACTTTGAGCCGTTGTGCTACCTATTGGCGCCGAACCCTCGTAGCTTCATCAAAAGCCATTCAGTGAAGTTTGAGCCTCACGCCGACTTTCCAGTCGTGAGTCACCCTTCGACAATTTTCCGAGCTCGTTCTGACATTGATCCCAGGAGAAGCGTGCAATCACATTCTCCATTACTCCCTCTGGTGTGCTCGCCCACATCCCCATCTTGGTGCTCCGCCAGCGCATGCCGACAGAATACCCTGCCACTGGCGTTCATATCAATGACAACATACACCGCTACTGGCGTTCGGATAAGCTCATATGAGTGGGCGCTCTATACCTGCTACTACCGTCTATATGTACCACATAGCCACACATATGAGTGCCCTCACACCCTGCCACCTATACATATTATAAAAGTGGCTGCTTATATGAGTGCATTAGTGTCTTTCCCTCATATGAACTTTGTAGTGCCTTGCCACTCATATGAGCTCGTCCCCTCATATGAGCTCGGCGCTCGCCCCCCTCATATGAGCTCGCCCCCTCATATGAGCTCGCTCCCTCATATGAGCTCGCTCTCCTCATATGAGCTTGCCCCCTCATATGAGCTCATCGGCGTCTCACCCCTCATATGAGCTTATTAATATCCCACCCTTAATATGAATGCACCAGCATTCCACAGCTCCCATTAGCACATCTGGGAACTGGCATACTCTATTGCATGCCTGTGTTTCTTTGCATGTATAGGTGCACCCATGCCAGAGCAATTCTTCAGCTTATCATATCACTGAGACACAGGAACTGTACTCTGAAAGGACAGGAAACTGCACCAGCTGTGCAACCGAAACAGACAGAATGGGTGCCCATTAGTTCCATTTTTATTCACACAATGCGCAAAGAGAGAGCAAGAAACCCATGATAGAAAGTGCAAGGCTCAAGCCGATCTCCGCAATCGGCAATTGACTCCCCCCGGGGGTCACCTCCAGGCCGGTAATTGACTCCCCCCGGGGGTCGATCTCCGAGTTTTTGATCACTGTGTATCTCCGAGTTTTTGACCACCTGTGTACCTCCAACTTTTTGATTGCCTGTGTATATTGTCAGCCTTCATTACCAGACTGCCTGTATCTATTACCGAGTTTTTGGACATCTGTGTGTATTACTGCTTTCATTGCCGAGTTTTTGATTGCTGGTGCCTGTTACCAGTCCTCATTACCAACTTTTTGACTGCCTCAATCCATCACTGAGTCTTTGTTCGCCTCCAGCCTTTGACACCGAGTTTTTTATCACTGATATTGGTAATATTAGATGAGTTAGTATGCCTGTACTAAACACCCTCTCCCTAGGAAGTCACCCTTCACAGCTGCATGTGTTGATGGAAATTGACCAAGCTGTTTGCTGGATCAGGTAGTAGCATGCAAGAGCTGTGGGTGTGCAAATCTGGAGGGCAGTAGCTGCAAAAGTGAGGGAGTAATGGGGTATGATATTCTAAAATGACATACCAAACACAGACATGGGATGAGAGTGTATCACATCCCAGACACCTAGATATATTCACAGAGGATGATTTAAATGCAATGCAGAAGAGAGCGCACAGAAATCAGGATTTCTGATGAAGATACAAGATATGTGTGGAAAGTGGAAGTTCTGAGAAAACACAACATGCATAAGTTCATGTGCAGACATTATATCAACAGGCTATTTGCTGCATCACAATTGAGTACTATTGGGGTGCTCAGATCGGAATTTGCAAGCTTATCGGTGATGAGATGCATATGGGGCACCATATGTCATTATTTCATGACATACAGTATCCTGACACAGCATATGCTCCGATTAGAATGCAAAAACATGGAATAGAACGGGGTAGAACATAGCTATCCAACGCAGAAAAGACCTTGAAAAACGGTTGAGAATCAGTGGAGATGTGCAAGGTGAGCCAGAAGTGTGGTTGTAGTGAAAAGCGAGGTCAGAGTACATTCAGCATAAACCACACTTCTGGCTCACCTTGCACATCTCCACTGATTCTCAACCGTTTTTCAAGGTCTTTTCTGCGTTGGATAGCTATGTTCTACCCCGTTCTATTCCATGTTTTTGCATTCTAATCGGAGCATATGCTGTGTCAGGATACTGTATGTCATGAAATAATGACATATGGTGCCCCATATGCATCTCATCACCGATAAGCTTGCAAATTCCGATCTGAGCACCCCAATAGTACTCAATTGTGATGCAGCAAATAGCCTGTTGATATAATGTCTGCACATGAACTTATGCATGTTGTGTTTTCTCAGAACTTCCACTTTCCACACATATCTTGTATCTTCATCAGAAATCCTGATTTCTGTGCGCTCTCTTCTGCATTGCATTTAAATCATCCTCTGTGAATATATCTAGGTGTCTGGGATGTGATACACTCTCATCCCATGTCTGTGTTTGGTATGTCATTTTAGAATATCATACCCCATTACTCCCTCACTTTTGCAGCTACTGCCCTCCAGATTTGCACACCCACAGCTCTTGCATGCTACTACCTGATCCAGCAAACAGCTTGGTCAATTTCCATCAACACATGCAGCTGTGAAGGGTGACTTCCTAGGGAGAGGGTGTTTAGTACAGGCATACTAACTCATCTAATATTACCAATATCAGTGATAAAAAACTCGGTGTCAAAGGCTGGAGGCGAACAAAGACTCAGTGATGGATTGAGGCAGTCAAAAAGTTGGTAATGAGGACTGGTAACAGGCACCAGCAATCAAAAACTCGGCAATGAAAGCAGTAATACACACAGATGTCCAAAAACTCGGTAATAGATACAGGCAGTCTGGTAATGAAGGCTGACAATATACACAGGCAATCAAAAAGTTGGAGGTACACAGGTGGTCAAAAACTCGGAGATACACAAGTGATCAAAAACTCGGAGATCGACCCCCGGGGGGAGTCAATTACCGGCCTGGAGGTGACCCCCGGGGGGAGTCAATTGCCGATTGCGGAGATCGGCTTGAGCCTTGCACTTTCTATCATGGGTTTCTTGCTCTCTCTTTGCGCATTGTGTGAATAAAAATGGAACTAATGGGCACCCATTCTGTCTGTTTCGGTTGCACAGCTGGTGCAGTTTCCTGTCCTTTCAGAGTACAGTTCCTGTGTCTCAGTGATATGATAAGCTGAAGAATTGCTCTGGCATGGGTGCACCTATACATGCAAAGAAACACAGGCATGCAATAGAGTATGCCAGTTCCCAGATGTGCTAATGGGAGCTGTGGAATGCTGGTGCATTCATATTAAGGGTGGGATATTAATAAGCTCATATGAGGGGTGAGACGCCGATGAGCTCATATGAGGGGGCAAGCTCATATGAGGAGAGCGAGCTCATATGAGGGAGCGAGCTCATATGAGGGGGCGAGCTCATATGAGGGGGGCGAGCGCCGAGCTCATATGAGGGGACGAGCTCATATGAGTGGCAAGGCACTACAAAGTTCATATGAGGGAAAGACACTAATGCACTCATATAAGCAGCCACTTTTATAATATGTATAGGTGGCAGGGTGTGAGGGCACTCATATGTGTGGCTATGTGGTACATATAGACGGTAGTAGCAGGTATAGAGCGCCCACTCATATGAGCTTATCCGAACGCCAGTAGCGGTGTATGTTGTCATTGATATGAACGCCAGTGGCAGGGTATTCTGGCGCCACCCAGTGGCTCCGCAACTGCACTATCGCCTTCCTCTCCTGCACTAACTCCTTCTTCGGGCCTGTAGGCCTCTTCATCAAACCCTGCCCATTCACCACAGATCGCGCCCACCCTCTGTTCCACACCTCTTTCACCATTCCCTTCGACACCCCGCGTCGGCTCCTCGCGCTCACCAAAGAGGACTTTCTCCCCATCGGACTATCGGGCCTCCCCTCCGAGTCCAAGGGATGGGAGTGGGCAAACATACTCCTCGCACACCCGGTCCCGCCCCACACCGAAGCCCCCCGCCGCGCTCTCACGCAGATGAACGCGTCCCTCGCGACGCCGTTCCGCGTCCCCGAAGCCTCGCTCCACGCGTGCGTAGCAGAGGGCGTGCGGCTTACGAGCTTCTGCAAGAGCGGAGACGTCGTGGGGCTCCAGTTCATGTACGGAGACGCCTCACTCCCGCTTGAGGTGATTGTACGGCTAGGGCTATGTCTGCGGGGAAGTGACCGCCGGGAGACTGGCATGTCAGATCTCACCACTTTTGCGGCTCGTCCCAGCGCTTCAACCTGCCACTGGGCCACGATGCATTTCCCCGACAATGGAGACTTCCGATTCGGTGAGAGCCTGAAGTGCATTCTGGAGAAATGGAACAAGCGCCACGAGTGCGGGGAGGATCATGTGCGCAACTGGACGGACAGGAGAAAGCTCTTTTCGGGGAGGTGGGGACTCCAGAAAGTTGTGATCTCGTTCACAGTTTGTCCCATGAACGGGACGGGAAATACACTGGAGCTGCATATTTCTCGTAAATAGTATGGCTCCCTTATTGCACGCTTGACGAGCATCGAATCTGACGCCGCCCGCGCGCCCCGTTCCCAGACCGGCGCCGTCCGCCTCTTAAGGAGGTCAAAGACGGCGGGCTCGTCGTCCCGCCGTGCGCGGCCGAGAGCTCGTCGCCATCGTCCGCGGAGGCACGATCCGTGCGATTTCCGGGCGCGAGGCTGATTCGAGGATGATCTTGGGCGGAGGCCGCCGCGCGAGGGCGAGCTGGACGCAGGGTTGTGAGATAGGCAGTGTGTGGGCAGATGGGTGACGCTATGGAAGAGGAGGAGGCGGGGTCGAGATTGTCCCTTTAATCCGCCTCCGAACCAGCGGGAATGCCGTTGCGATGAGAGGTGTAGCAGAAAAGAAGTGTAGACGCTGCGACAGCAGAGGGAGACCGCAATGTGGGAAGTCGGTTGAGGTTTCTAGACGTGGTCGTAAGCAGCTGGCTGACATGGAACGCCGAAAGTCCATCCATGGCGTGCGCGCGCGTGCCGGAGCATACTCGCACAGGCAAAGTGTAATAGGTACGCACGCACGAACAGGATCGAGTCCATAATAAATGGATTGGGATGCCAGACGGTCGAGATGCAAGCACCAGAGTGCCGAGTCGCGAGTCCGACGTGAGACGAGAAACATAAACAGAAACCTGCAGTGAGACCGAGCCAGTGTTCGTGACGAGAATCAGGACCAGAAACTCGATGCAAAAGTGACGAGACATCGTGAGATAGATGCAGGAGACGCCACTCGTGTCGATATCCAGACGAGAAGAGGTCCTATGCAAGATGAAAAGAAAAAGCTGCTGGCGTCGTTCAAGAGATAGTACGGCGGTACAATCCGCGATCTGCCGGGGTAGGGGTGTCGAGCTCCGGTCCATTGCCGCGAGGGAGGCGGAGTTGGCGGAACAGCATAGCAGGCGCTTACTCCGCGACCGGAGCGGCGGGTGCTGAGTGGCGGCGGCGCTCCCCCCGTCCGAGCGCGGGGACGCTCGGTGAGCAGGAGAAGAAGTCCGTGCAGGCTGGAATTCGAAGCCGAGGATGTTGGGGGAGGAACCATAGCTGGACAGGGGTAAGACGGGGAGACGGAAGAGGTCTCACGCGTCGCGCTGCGGGCGACAGGCGCGAAGCGGCTGGGAGAGTCGTTGAGGAGGATGAGGAGGTGCGGGGCCAGCTCGAGTTCGTCGCAAGCGGGGTGGGGGCGCCTCCGAGAGTGTCGAGTGAACGACAAAGGCGGCGAGCGCTGGGGCGAAATTGGTGAGGCCGTGGCATTCTGGAGGTGCACGACCTGCAACCTCAGCGCGTCGCGCTCGGCCGTCACTGAATCACGGGTGGCCTTCTCCAAGTTGCACTTCTCCTTCAGCAAGTCTCGCACTGTCTGTAGCGCGCGGTTTTCCGCCTGCAATGAGTCGGGTGACGCCTGCAGCAAGTTGTGCTCATGCTTCAGAGTGTCGTACTACATCTTGCGTGCGGATTACAGGTTGCGGCTCCTCGGAGAAGCGGACAGGGGAGATGAGGAGGGTATGGGTGAATAGAGACAAGAAAACGCACCTCAAGCTTAGCCTGCGTCGCACCCAAGTCATCCTCCTTGCCAGCAAGCAAAGCCCGCGTTCTCCAGTTGCAACCCGCAAGACATCGTTCGCGGTGTTGGCATCGCCTAGCTTGGTGGTGGCGACCTGCAAGCGACCCAACGTCGTCGCACGCTGCTCAGACAGGCGACGGGTCTCCGCCTTCGCGACCGCCATCTCCTTCGCGTGGCTCTCCGTGAGCTCTTCGTGGCGCGTCCTCATCTCCATGAGCTGCCCGGTGGTCGCCGTATACAACGCCATGGCTTCTGCCTGCGTCCTGGTGAGGTCCTGCACCTTCTTCGTGAACGAGACGGTGGATGAAGTCCGTCTAGTCGGCTTCTGGGGGATCGTCGAGCTCAACGAAGCTCAGATCGCGCTCATCGGCGGAGGTGAAACCGCGCCCATAGAAGAGGAGACAGGAGGAAAATGGCGAAGGCGGCGACCGACGGGCAGACTCCGTGGACGGAGATGAAGTGAGACGAGGATGCGGCTGACTGGGGCTGACAGACAAGCTGCTGGGGGACGGGCAGAAGGTGTAGGGCAGGGGGAGCTAGATGGGTACCGGGGATGTGCCAAAGTCCACACCGACTTGCAGAGCGAACAGGATGAAGGCCAGGCCACGGGCTTGCAGGCGCAGGCGAGCTGGGGAGAGGAGAGGTGGACAAGGGAGGGGGGCGAGCCATAAATGAGGAAGGCGACGGCCATGGTGAAGGTCCACGATGCAGGCAGGTAGAAGAGCTCGGGGTTATCGATGGTGACTTGGGGGTGCACGCCGTAGACGATCGTGCTACTGGTCGTGAAGGTGTTGTTGAAGGTGGACGTTGGGATGGGGAATATGCTGAGGAACGGCTTCATGATGGATACTGAACGACGACGAGGCATCAGAACTCGCAGAGATGGTGTAGGTGGTTGGAGACGAAGACGAGTGAATGTAGAGAACGGCGGCTCTGCGTACCTCATATACCTCGCAGATGGGGCTGTCTTGCAAGTATTCCTGATTGGCCTGGCAGGCGGAGACATTTGCTGGGACGGGCTGTCGATGAAGTATGGCAATGGGGGTACAAGTGAGGTACTAGAGAGAGAGAGAGAGAGAGAGAGAGAGAGAGAGAGAGAAGTCATCTACGCTCCAGAAGATAGTTCCGAGTCGGAGCAGGCAAAACATCTCGCTCGCGGCAGCGGGCCGGGCCGTGCCTGGGGGTGGCTGTGATTGGACAGTTCGTCCTGCGTTCGCTCTCGTTCTCTCGTGGAATCCGCCCAGCTCTCATATGCTGCACCGCGCGCTGTCGAGAAACGTCCCGTCCCACGCATTCAACCGCCGTCCTTCGCTCGTTTCACCCATCACCCGTCTCTCTCACTGCTCGATCATCCGCACCACAATGGTGCTCCCCACCCCGCCACCGGAGGCGCCACGGCGGCGTCCCTCGCGGAACGCGCCAGGGTCTACGGTGTGGATGCGCTGCCTCCCCCCACGGCCAAGAACATCCTGATGTGGGATGCCTACAACGAGAACGTCCTCGTGAGTATCTCCTGGCCCCCGCGATGCGTCACATTCCAACCCACGCGCCCCACCGTTCGGATCCTGCTCTCCGCCGCCGCCGTCATCTCTCTCGTGCTCGGCCTCTTCCCAAGTCTTTGGACCCGGGCGTGACCCTGGCGAGCCCGCGGTGGAGTGGGTCAAGGGCGTCGCAATCATGGTCGCGATCGTCGTCGTCATCGTCGTCGTCCTGGTCGACTCGCTCACGGACTGGCAGTTAAAGGAGCGCCAGTTCCGCGTGCTCAACGCGAAGGGGGACGAGCGCGCCGTCAAGATCGTCCATGGGGGCGGGAGCACTTCATGGACGTGCACGACGTCGTCGTCGGCAACGTGGCCCTGATCGAGCCCGGGGATATCATACCGTGCGATGATGGCGTGCTCCTCTCGGGCCACGGCGTGCGCTGCGACGAGTCGGGCGCGACGGAGGAGAGTGAGGTCATCAAGAAGATGAAGTACCGGGATTGTTTGGAGCTGTGGAAGACGCTCGACGACGACGAGGTGGGCGCCGTCTCGCATACCGACTGCTTCCTCATCAGTGGTAGCAAGATTCTCGAGAGTGTGGGTTCGTACGTTATTGTCGCCGTCGGGCCCCGTTCGTTCCACGGGCGCATCATGACCTGTATGTATGCTCCCCACTTCGTCCGCACCTGGCCCTGACGTGAAATAGCCAGCGCTCCACGACATCACAGAGGACACGGCCTTTTAGCGCAAGACAAGATCGCGGTCGCGGGCTCACTCGGCGGGTTGATACTCTTCGTTGGGCTGCTCATTCGATACTTTGTCAAGATCGGCACTGACACTCCCCACATGTACGGATAATTCGCGATCGTCTCTGACAGTATATCGCTGACGTCCCTCGTAGGAGCCCCAGCCAGAAAGGGCTGGCTTTCGTGGACATTCTCATCTTGTCCTTCACCCTCGTCGTCGCCTCTGTTCCTGAAGGTATGCCCATCGCTCGCGCAGTCTCCAAGTGCACTTCCTAAGCCATCGCGCTCGCGCTGGCGTTCGCTTCCAAGCGGATGACGCGCGAGAACCTACTCGTCCGCGTCCTGAACTCCTGCAAGACCATGGCGAACGCCAGCGTCATCCGCACGGACAAGACCGGCACGCTCACACAGAACACCATGTCGGTCGTGGCGGGCGCCGTTGGCGGCGAGCTGGTCTTCGTCCGCGATCTAACCCAGAATCCCGAGCGCGCTAGCCCCGACGCCACCGGCCCTCTCGCCATCATCGACCTCCACTCTCTCAACAGCGCGCCCCCTCCTCCGCTTGACATCCTCCTCAACCACGGCATCGCGATCAACTCCACCGCGTTCGAAGACGTGGACGCAAACACCGGCGTCTTCATGTTCGTGGAGACCGCACTGCTGGCGATGGCGCGCGACTTGGGATTGGCCAACTACAAGGCCGTTCGGGAGGCAGCGGAGACGCTGCAGGTGTTCCCGTTCTGCGAAAGGCGATGAGTGTCGTGGTGCGTCTTCCGGGGGGTCGCGCGCGGTTGTACGTCAAAGGCGCGAGCGAAGTGGTCGTGGCGGTGTGCGCACGCCAGGTCGTTGCCACCGAAGGCGAGGATGTGATGATAAAGGTCACCGACGAAGACGATCAGGCGCGAATCTTGGAGAGCATGACGTCGCATGCGTCTCAGACGCTTCGCACCATTGCTGTATGCCACCGAGACTTCGACACCTGGCCACCCAAGTCTGACGGCGAAGTAAGTCGCCTCGTCCTTGTCGAACGTCCTCTCCGACCATTATTCTAGGTCTCGCGGACGGAGCTCGCACGCGATGTCACTCTCGCTGGCGTCTTCGCCCTCCGAAGACCCCCTTCGTCCTGGCGTCCCGACAGCGTCCTAACCGCACGCTCCATCGCCACCCAGTGCGGCACCTTCACTCCCGGTGGTATCGTCATGGAGGGCCCGCCGTTTCACGCGCTGTCAGACACCGAGCGCCGCGCGACCGTGCAGCGTCTCCAGGTGCTCGCGCACTCGTCACCCGAGGACAAGCGCGTCCTTGTCAACACCCTCAAGGAGCTCGGCGAGATCGTGGAGGTTACTGGCGACGGCACCAATGACGGCCCCGCGCTCAAGGTCGCGCACATCGGTTTCTTTATGGGCGTCACCTGCACTGAAGTCGCGAAGGAGGCGTTCGACATCGTCCTCAGACGACAACTTTCCGTCGATCGTCAAGGCCATCGTCTGGGGCCGCGCGGTCAACGACGCGGTGCGCAAGTTCCTGCAGTTCCAAGTCACGCCCGCCGTTGTCGTCACGCTTGTCTCGGCGCTCGCGGGGACGAGCTTCGAGGAGAGCGTGCTGAGTGCGGTACAACTGCTGTGGGTCGCGATCGTGATCGAGACCTTCGCGGCGCTCGCGCTCTCGACGGACTGCAAGCCGGAGCTGCGGGACGCGCCGCTGTTCACGATAAACATGATCAAGCAGATCCTCGGGCAGAGCGCGTATCAGGTCGGAGCGATCCTCGCGCTCTACTTCCGCGTGGACGCGCTGCTCGGGTTCCCGCTGCACGACCTCCACAACTACACGGTCGTGTTCAACGCGTTCGTCTTCGCGCAGATTTTCAATTCGTCCAACTGCCGCCGGCTCGATCGCCAGTACAATGTACATATTCGAGGGCGTGCTCAGGAACCTGTGGTTCATGGGCATCACTTTCGTCGGTACGTCTGTCTGTCCTTCTATCCTTGCCCAGCGCAGAAACTCACTGTACCCTACCAGAAATCGTCGTCTTCGCCGTCACGCGCCTCACCGGTCGCGAGTAGGGCGTCTCCCTCCCGCTCGGCGTCGTCTCGATCCCGCTCGGCGCGCTCATCCGCATGGTCCACAACGACCCTTGTGAACGCGCGTTTAAGGCGCTCGGGCTATACCACGAGCCGACGCTATTGCCGACGAACCAGGCCAGTCTCGACTTCGCGCACGACGAGCTAACGAGCCTGCTTGGGGCGTTCCGGGCGCTGCGCGGGGGCCGCTTGCATCGCCGTGGGTCGTCGAAGGGTGTGGTGTGAGTTTTTTCCTGGGTTCTGGCTGCGTCGAGGGACGTGTGGCTGACGTGTGGCTGGGAACGCAGGTCGAGCGTGTTTACTGCCGACGCTTATCGGATCGCATATCGTTGGGCCGCGTGGAGCGGCTGCGGTGGACACGGAGGTGGTAGATAACGGCGAGGGCATGGTACACGAAGATCCTCAAGTAACGAGCATTTCGCCATTGAAGAGCAAAGTGACGACTTTCCACTTACGATAGCCTGTTCATCAGGAGTCTGTCTCCATGCGATTTTCACGACTCTTGACTTATTCTGTGGGCATCATACCGCTGGATGATACGATTATAGGGTTTCTGTCTAGCGCTGAGGCGTGAGCCGCTCTTCTCTTGCTTGTGTGCTACTGTCTTGCAATATCTCTTCGGCGCCCTGATGCACCGCACTACGAACGCCTCCAGCCATAGGCCTCGAGTCCGCCTCCGCCATACTCGGCAGGGGTCCAACCTCTGTTCGTCGAACCTTTTCCGGCCTCAAGTTGTTCCGAGGCAGACTCGGGCCCGTACACGGTGTGCACAACGCTCGTGCGGACGCTCCATCATACCCAGCACAAATACATACAAGGACTCAACCGCTGATTGATGTCATGAAAGAAGGTGCAAGCAGGTGACAGAGCGGAAGCCAGGCCGACTCGGCGTGGGCGGCGAACTTGCGTGCGGCCGTACGCGCGGCATCACGCATGCTTGACACGCCAGATAGATAAGAAGTTCCGCACAGTGCCGCGCACAGCGCCCGCTCAGAGCCGCACAAAGCCTCGAGAGAGGCCCGTCGATTGTGCCCCGGCTCGTGCTCCCTGCCGTCTCTCATGCTGTCGGATCCTACTATCCCACCTCTTTCGACATCACCGTGACTCTTTGCTACTGTATCCTGCTTTCTGCAGCCATCCCGCCCGACATGTGGCTCCTCAGCACCGACTACGCAGAGCTCCACTACTTCGTATCTCCCGAAGCGGTGCCCGGAGGCTACGCCATCCTCTCCCACGTCTGGACCGACGACGAGACCCAATTCCACGACCTCCGTGCCATCGAAAAGCGCTGCACAAAAACCCGAGAAAACCCGCGCGACCTGGTCTCCCCAAGATTCGCGGATTCTGTATTCTCGCCGCGAAGCACGGCTATACCTACGCATGGGCGGACACTTTCTGCATCGACAAGTCCAGTTCCGCCGAACTCTCCGAGGCCATCAACTCGATGTTCCGCTACTACTCCCTCGCCGGTGTCTGCTACGCCTACCTCTCCGACGTCGAAACCACGGATCGCGACGCATTTGAATTTCACAACAGCCGCTGGCACCGTCGCGGATGCATCAGGAAAACCCTCACTTGCTAATTAGAGAAAATTCTCTCTTATTAGTGCTTATTAGCAAGTCTTCTCTAATTAGAGCGAATTAGAGTAGTACATTGCTAAGCCATCTAATTAGAGCTAATTAGACGCAAATTAGATCTTCATGAGGTCTTCATTAGCTGCAAGATAGATCTCAAGGAGCACTCAATGAGTGCCTAATATGTTCACACAATGCTCACAATAGATCACACAAGTGTATAAGAGAAGCAAACAGATCTATATTTGTTGTACTACGAGATACAGAGTAAAGACTACAAACTACAAGACAGACAGGCATACAGCCACTCGACCGAAGAATCCTATACGAGTGACGCAGGCGACGTGGGCAAACAAGCGAGGTGGGCGGCGACGCAGGCAATATAGACGATGCAGACGAGATGGGTGACTATGGGTGACGCTAGCGACATGGATAACCTGGCAAGGGGAGGCGGGCGACACAGACGAGGCGCGTGGGCAACGTGGCGACGTGGGGGCGGGCGACGTGGGGGCGAAACGTGGACGTGTCATGCAACGCGGGTGAGGCAGGTGCAACGAGCGAGGTGAGCGACATGGCCGAGGTGACGATGTGGGCAAAGTAGATGACGCAGGTAAAACGGACCGGGCGGACCACGAGGACGAGACGGTTGTGTTGGGAGGGGTGGATGGATGAACGGCAGGCCGGCGACCCTGCGCGAGTCGAACGGCTCGTCTGCGTGTAGTTCGAGTGCCACCTGTGCTTGAGCCGACATGCATGCCGGTGTGCTCGTGCACCACGACCGTCAGTCAGAAACGATTTCGGCAAGATTCGCAAACGACTCACGAAGCTCCAGTGGGTGATGCGGGTGACACACGCGAGGTGGGCGAAGAGGGCGATATGGGCGATGCGGGAGAAGCGGGCGACGCGGACGCGGGCGGCGTGGGAGAAGAGGGCGACGCAGGCGAGATGAGCGATGTGGCCTAGATCGCGACACGAGTGGGGCGGGCAAGGTGGGTAACACAGGTGTTGTGGGTGATGTGGGTGATGCGGGCATGACATGGAGACGTCGCCATAAGCTCACGCTAGGTGACACATACGGGAGAGGGGCTCACCGTGTAATGTCGAGCTCGTTAAGCTCGTACTGCAATTGCTGGAGCAAGAACAAGGGGAGCACGTTGCGCACGCGCGTGCGGTCAGAGTCCTTCAGCTGCGGCGGACGAGACAGAGACGGAATGAATACTCACCAAGAAAGGGTATAGGAGACACAGCGTGTCCGAGCGCGCCGGCGGGGCTGCTAATGACCTAGAGCTAGCTCCATAGGTCCTCGACCTCACGCCGGAGGAGCCCCTTCTCCTGCTCGAGTTCGTGTATTCGGATCAGCGGCAGGGGAATGCGGCAAGTTGACGCAGTGGTGAGCCGTGTGAGGTGGGTGAGGTCAAAGGCAGAAGGGTGTAGATACGAGGACGGCGACGAGAGCCAGGAGGAGACGAGATGGTGGAAGATGGACATGTGCTGGCAGCCGGAGGCGTGCCTCTCCCTCGTGGAGGCGTGGGAACCGACGCGCGTCGCGCAGAGTCCAGCGCCTGGCACCACCAGCACCACCCTCATCATCCTCGCCGTCCTCAACTTCTGCCTGGCTTCCTGCTGCTCTGCGCGGATCTTCCCTACGTCGACCGCGCCAGCTTCTCACCCCCCGAGCTTCAGTACTTCACCATTACGCTCACCTGCTAGTTTCCCGCTCCCTGGGACCGGCTCTCATGCAAGGACCACACGCGAAATAAATGATTTCTTCCACGGTGAGTTCTCCACCTTTCCCTGCGCACCCTCTCTCATTGTCCTCGTGGCCTACGTCACGCCCACCTCGCCCACCTCGCCCATTCACCCCCTCGCCTGTATCACCCTCCTCGCCTGGTGAGCGAAACGACCGGCGGCGGCGGGACCATGGACACCATGACAACGATACACACGATCTACCACACCCCCGCGTCCTCACTCTACAACACCGACCCCTTCATCATTGCGCTCTCCTCCCTCACCTTCACCACGCACCCCACTGCACCCCCGCCCCCGCTCGTCGAAGGTAACAGGGTCCCCATCGACACCGCCCGTCTGTGCCGCGTCCCCTCCACGTTGTCGATGACTCCCGCCCACACGACCACCCCCAGCCTCTTTGTCCGCGGGGTCGACGTCACCGCCGTGACGACGCCCACCAGCTCAAACACAGGCGCACACTTCAAAACAAAACTTGGGTGAAACCCAGCAACGTGAGTGATGTCTTTCCGTGCCGTGTCCGCACTCACTCATCTTCGCCCGCTCACCACCTCGCCTGCGTTATCTTCGCGGCTCCCTAATCGCGCCCATGTCGACGACCGCCACCCACCTTGCTCGCATGCGTCCTGCCTGCATTCGCCCCCGCGTCGCCCGTTCGCCCACGTCTGGCCCAAGTCTCGCCCGCCTTGCTGACCTCGCCCGCCTTGTTCCTCTCGCCCCTGCGTTGCCCGCGTCGTGTCTGCGTCTTGTCGCCGCGTCGCTGACCTCCGAGCGTTGCCTGTGTCAGTGCGTGCCTCGCCCGCGTCAACGTCCGCCGTGTCGCCCGAGCATCACCCACGTCTCGCACCTGCGACGCCCGCTTCACCGTCCCCACGTTAACGTCCTTGTCGCCCACCTCGCCCGCACTGTCACCCTCGCGTTACCCCCGCGCCGTCCGTCTTGCCCCACGTCAGCAAGTCGCCTGCGTCTCTTGCGTTGCCCTCACGGCCTGTGTCGGCAGCCACTTACTCTAAGACCTCGTTGCGGCAGATGTAGCCACAGAGTAGTTAGACACCAATATATTTCATCTTCTCGAGCTTCTATATTGTTGTGAATTATCGATAAAATAGTACCCTTAGTGGTGTTAAGCTCTCACCTGCAACGAGAGGGTTAAGATCGCTCTAATTAGAGATATTTTGGCACAAAGGAGATCCACTTTCTATGAGAGCACTCATTTGCACGAGATTAGATCTACCAGAGAGCAAACTAGACAAATTAGATCTAATTAGCAAGTGGGGGTTTTCCTGATGTGGACGCTCCAGGAACTCCTCGCCCCACGTCTCCTTCTCTTCCTTTCGCGAGATTGGGAGATACTAGGAACCAAGGCCGAGCTGGCCGAGGAACTGGGGCAGACGACGCCGATACCAGTGAGCATCCTACGCTTTGAGGAGGAGATACGGGACGTCAGCGTCGCACAGCGGATGTCTTGGGCAAGTCGAAGAGAAACGACGCGGATCGAAGACGAAGCATACTGTCTGATGGGGATCTTCGATATCAACATGCCGATGCTGTATGGCGAGGGCCGGAAGGCGTTCCAGAGGCTGCAGGAGGAGATCATGCGGACGTCGACAGACACCTCTTTATTCGCGTGGGGCCGTGTCAAGAATTGTAAATGGGATGACCTCGCGCCACGCAACAATCAGCACGATCACTTTGTGCCGGAGTCCTACCTCTTGGCGCCGAACACTCTGAGCTTCAGCGACAGCGGTTCAGTGAAGTTTGATCCTCACGCCGGCTTTCCAGTGGTGAGTGGCCCTTCTACAGGTTTCCGGTGATGTGCAGTCAACTCTGCGAAGAGTCAAAAGTGATGAGGGCAAGTGAGCGAGCCCGAGTAAGCGTGAGACGCGGGAAGTCGGAGAGTGAAAGAAGAGAACAGCTACGACGCGCCGCGTGAGGAGCGAGCGCGAAGAGAGAATAGATCGGGGGATCGCGCGAGCGCGAGGAGGACGAGGAGGGAATAGACGCGGGGTGAAGAGACGAGATCGCGCGCACGCGCGGCGCTGGCGAAGGCGAAGGGAATCGAAGTCGTGGGCGAAAGCGTGGGCGTGGGCGTGGGCGAAGTCGAAGTCGAGGTCGAAGGCGAAGGCGAAGGCGAGACGAGGTGAGCACACAGCACGCACAGAAAGAGCGGGAGAGTGAACTGGGCATCCATAAGCAAAACGTGAGCCTAAGTACATGCGACGCACAGGGCGAGTATGTAGATAGCAATGTACAGTCAAAGCCATGACACGAAAAATGTCCGAGGTCGATACCGAGAATGAATGTCTGAGCTGGAAACGTAGGAGACAGGAGCGAAAGTAAATGTACAGGTGCGCAGGGAAAGAATAGGGAATGGATGAAACGTAGAAAAGGAGAGAATATGTAGAGTACGTGGATCGAGTGTGTACCGTGCCGGCCTCGGTCGTGCGTGGACTGCGCCGCGGTGTGTCCGTGGGCGTCGCGTCTGGCCTGGAATGCTGGAGCGTCGATATGGGGTGCTCGCGGGCTGATCGCGATGGGTGCGCGCGGTGGAGAGGTCGAGGTGCGTGAAAACGAGCGAGGTCGAGGTGGACGGCCGTGCGCGGGCGCTAGTGTAGTCGCGGTGCACCGTACAGCGGCGGCGCGTGCGTATCATCCCCTCCCTACTGAAATCTGAACCCTCCTGGGTTCAGCACAGCAAAGGGGAGCGACAGCAACGACCGGGTGGGATAGAGGCGCGGAAGTGGGGGAATAATAGCGATGGCGGAGTGATGGGTACAGACGCGCGGACCGAGAATTTCAACGCGAACGTCGAAAGCAAAGCACGAAGCTATGGCCATCACGAAACGCGCGCGAGATAGAACGGGCGTGATCTGCAAAGCGCCCGTTGATCACGGCATGAACTGTTTTCGTCATCGATTTTGAGTATGATCATGGTTCGTCTAGTAGACGAAATGTGATCAACTATCGTCTAGAGCTGAATTGTACGATCGTTTTGCAATCTGTCTGACGATTATTAGATCTGTTAATGTCCAAATGATCGCGGGTACACTGAGTACAGAGCATGAGATGACCAGTGAATGAGCATTTGACGATCAGCTGCTGATCCAGCTCCGGTGGGCGGGAAGTACGAGATACCACGTGATCTGACGCGCGTCGCAGGGTGCTTCAAGACGGATTCCTCTTCTCTGTGCCTACGTCTTCACTCTTCTCCTCCAGAATGGTCCCCGGCACTCAGCCCCGCCGCTCAAGACTACTCGGCGATGCTTTGCTTGACTTCGCGGTCACTTGCACCAACGAGGCAAGGACCTGCTTCAAAGAGGACGCCTCTACCCACGGCGAGATCGTCTATCGCCGGGAGCGCATCACCCATTGCTTCGCGCAACTCATGAGGGCCTTCGACACGGAGGAGGACGCAGTCGGACTAGCTGTCATCCCATCTCTGCCCAACACAGACAGCACCTCTCTCTCCCAGTCTCTGCCTCGCTCTCTATCACCCTCTCGCACCTCTTCGAACAACCCCGTTCCTGTCGGTGTGTCTAGCAATCTCTCTTCTCCGCAACAAGGCACGTCGTCTGTGGCTTCCTCTCCATCTTTCGGGTCCGACCGGTCTCCCTCGACTTCCCTCGCCACGTCTTTCCACACACCAACCTCATTGAATCCTCTCGGACTGTCAACACTCCATGATTCTTGGCGGCGCTCTACGCGGCTCATCTCCGGGCGACTCCTGGGCAGCCAGGGACCTCTCCCGAACATCACAAGCCCCCAGGACACAGTATCACCGTCTATGTCCTGTCAGTGTACCCCTCCGGTCATTGGGAGCCGCGTTGTGTGGCCAAGTGGAGGTCGCCAGAGGGCGCTTTCGCAGGCCTGCTCGATCGCGTTCAATGAGGCATGCACGGGAGAAAACAACCGCTGGATCAACCCCGACGACTTGGTTGCGTCAATCCATTGGCCTCGGAGACACCCCTCTCCCGCTTGTGAGGCCTCTGCTAGTCCCGGGGATGAAGAAACACGCGTCCCCAGCCCGGAGTCGGATGATCCGCCTCGCGTCCGCGGTCGCAACGATGATGACCACGATGAGGCTCCTTCTCAGGTACATCTTTCACGTTGTCTTTTTTTCTCTGTGTAACAAGCCACGTGTAGATGGGCCGCGAGCAAAAACGCCTTCGACACGAGTGAAGACGGTTGGATGTAGGCAGGGTTGTGTCGCTGCGCGCAATGTGAGCGCGCTCGGCTCCCGATTGTAGTTGTATCATGAAGTGTATACTATAACGATGAATTGCGATTCAATACTGTCCATCTCCACTGCATCCCCGCATGGACACTGAGTAGGATGAGGACACATTACAGGGAAGAGAGTGTCATCCTACCGATGTCCGCATCGACGTCCCCCGGTGGGTGTCACCAGCGAGCATGGCCCGTTATATCGTACTCGTCCTCCGGCTCAGCGTCATGGTCTTCTTTGTCACCACAGCCATCAAGATCCTGAAGGATCTCGACCTCATCGATATCTTTGCCGTCGTTCACCCAGCATGCGTCTTCATCTTCAACCTCAACCTCTCCGGAATGTACATTCTCGCGCTCCTCGAGGTCGTCAACCTCCGCTTGAAGTGGGGCGACATCTCCGGCCTCGGGCACGTTCTCCTGCTGAGAGGCTTGAGCTTGGGCGTTGTCGGGTGGTGCATGAGGAGGATGTTCAGGATCACTGTCGGGGCTAGAGGCGGTGGCAGCGGAGGAGAAATTGACCTCATAGACAACGTCTGTATCTAGGTGCTCAATGTCGTCGCCTACGAGCCGGGCACCACTGGTAGGCTCCCACTGCAATGGCCGGATTCGTGGATCTCGCGCCGCGTTATCCTGTGAGTCCTCCACATGGATTCCTTCGCCTTGATGGCCAACTCCTCCACCCAGATGGCGCATGTACATGTCACGGTCCGCAAACCTGCATGACGGAATCAGCGATGTGTGTGATTCAAAGACGTGAGACCAAATGCTTACATCATGACGTAGTAGTATGTGTAGAAGGGCGCCTTGGACCCAGCACGAGCGAGGGATGTTGGGGGTAGGTCGTCATCACACAGACCATGATCGAAGGCGGGCACGATATACGCCGCACGGACAACATCGTTGAGATTCTGGAAGCCGAAAGCGTGGTCTGGGTGTGCTTCATGGTCGACAAACTTGAGACGATGCTGACGGCGACCAGAGAATCCGGCGGGGTAGGTTTCGTCTACTTCATACCACCGTACCCAAAGGAGATCAAAGCGTCGTAGGGTTGAGCTTTGCAACATCGCTCCAGGGCCATTGTAGCGTGCATGGAGATGGAAGACCCCGATGACGCGAGCGTACAAATACGGATGAGACGAGTCTTCAGGGGCAAGCATGATGACATCGGCATGCGTTCGGATGTTGATGTGGTCCTGCTCACGACGAAGGGCGTAGTTCGTGTAGTTGAAGCGAGCGGTCTTGTGGGAGAACATGCGCTGATCAGTGATCTCCAGCCCTTCGTGTTCTTCCAGGGTGAACGCCCAAGGCCAGAGGGGGTTATGGGCACAATGTTCTCGTTCACCGAGGATTTGCGATAGTACATATTCCCGAAGACCGACATAGAAGTCCTGTTACAAAGTTAGTGAGCGGTCAGGCAGTGTCATCATGTGAATACTAAATGCTTACCTTGACCGCGGGATCATCAAAATGCGAACGTATCCACGGCAGAATCTTGATCGCGTCACTCGAGGACTTCGCAATGTCGTAGCGTTCATGCGGGTCGCACAGTGGGCCTTGCGGAGGCGACGGGACATCCAAATTAGACGTTGAGGGGGGCTGAGTTGGGGTCTGCGTGGAGCTCTGTCTGGGTAGCAGTTGATTTGCTGGGTTGCGTTCGTTGATCTGGCGAATGCGGGTGCCGTTACGGAAGAGGCGCGCGATCTGATAGACGTGGCCGCGTCGATTGGTCCGTCTGAACAGCAACTTGACGTGCTTGTGCTCACATTCCCCCTGCAGAGAGAGATTGGCTGGCATGAGTAAGAGGAGGGATGGATTGAAGAGATTGACAAACAATTTGCGTAGAATAAACATCCATCGGCCCTCGTAGCCGGATATAGGGAACCCAATGTCCGAGAGCGTGGTACTTGTACGTTCGCATGACCGTGTACTTTTTAGCCTTGCGATGGATCTTCTCGACAAGTTTGGACTTCGCCTTCCGCTTGGTGGTGGTAGACTCCTTGGCCTGAGCGCGGCGAACACGAGCTTGCGCTTCATGCTCTTGCTCAACAGTCTGGTATGACGCTGCAGCAAGTGCGTCGAAGCGTCGGATACTCTCATACATGAGTGTCGTGGCTTCCTCCATGATATCGAGCGTGACGTCCATGTGTAGATGGAGCTTGCCGAGCGCATGAAAATTTGCGAGCTCGAAGAGGAGATCTTGGACGACCTCATTATGTTCGAGTGGGAGAAGGCCTTCCATTGCAGGCATCATCATCTACAATATCATATCTGAGTACCACACAAAGAATGCGGGCATGGGAGCATACTCACGATAAGGAAAGCTTCATAATCGCGCGCAGCTAGCCCTTTCCGAGAGGCTATGTTACCCATCACCTTTCGGATGCGATAATTCCCGAACGTTGGCATACTACGCATCCTAGTAAGACCAAGAGCGGCGTTGTCAGCACTGTGAATCTCACATGCCTGATCTATACGTACCGAGTGTTGAATTCTTCCACAATTGGGTTGCCGAGGCAATCAAGCATACGCATGACATGGTGAAAGGTTCCTTTCCACACTCCCAACTCGAATTCATGCATGATATCCGGGGCGAAGAGATCATATGAGTTCACCCCATGGGGCGCTAGCCTTGT